CGACAGTAAGGATTAACGCGCCAGGTATTGTCTGGTACCGTAAAACCAAAACTCGCGAGATATTATGTAATTGAGGGGCACCGGTATTCTTCACTTTGCAAAGGGATTCACTGTAGGATTAAATAAATCCAGAGAACTTTAGAATTTGATGGGACCTCGGGGACCAGCTCATTCAATCCCTATACTAGGAAAGGGATATTTAAACAGTGTAAGAGGCTTACTTCCAGTTGTCCAGCCACACCAGAGCTGGGGGGAGGGATCCCATCCAGCCTGGCTTTTTCCTTCCAGGCTCTTCTCATCATGTCTTGCATGACACAGAGCTACTCCAATGGCAATGAGGATATCAGTGATACTATTTTTCGAGGGCTTTCTAGTGTCAAACACTGTTCTGAGTGTTTTTCATGTGTTACGACATTGTTCTCCTGGCAATGCCATTAATGTTACTCAGAGAACGCTGAGGCACAGAGAGATGAAGTGAATTATCTAAGGTCACACAGCTGAGAAGTCCCGGCACTGGGGTTCTAATCCAGGTTATCTGGCTCCTGAGCCCAGATGCTGAACAACAACGTTCTTCCACTTCTCTTTACTTTTTTATTTTTATTTTTTAAAAGATTTTATTTATTGATTTGACAGACAGAGATCACAAGTAGGCAGAGAGGCAGGCAGGGAGAGAAGAGGAAGCACGCTCCCTGCTGAGCAGGGAGCCCAATGCAGGGCTCAATCCCAGGACCCTGAGATCATGACTTGAGCAGAGGCAGAGGCTTTAATCCACTGAGCCACCCAGGTGCCCCAATTCCACTTCTCTTTAGAGGCACTCCCTGACCACAAGCCCTGGCAGAGAAATGAGTTTCCACCTGCGTATTTAAAGTTAGTTATTTCTGTATTGAACATCATTTCAGGGCCAAGCAAACCAAAGCTTGATGTCATACTTTCTGACAGATCTTTTCAAGTATAGGGTTGCTCTGTTTAAAGTTCCTGGAGCTTTGCTGATAAAATAGCGGGAAATGCAGGTGGGATGCATGTGATGAGTAGGACTGTGATCAAGGTTACAGGTGATAAGGGATGGTAGCTAGAAATTCCTGCAGACTTTACAGAGTGAGAAGTTTGGCAAGAAACCAGGTCCAATGCCAGTCGTGTGTGGTGCTTCTTCGGTAGCAAGTATACTTACCGTATTGTTTACAAAACAATCATGTCTCTCTCAGCAGTGACTGAATTAAATATTGGGCTATTAATGAATTAAGGTCAGGCATGTTCTGCTGGCTCCCAAAATCATCTCATGTGAGTCTTAGAGTTGACTTTTTTTTATGTGTGCTTGATTAATTTCCTGGAACACCCCTCACAGCTCACCTGTTCACCCCCACCCCCCTTAGTCTGGGGATTCTCACTGTGAGTAGGTAGTCCCAGCAAAGCCCAGAATCTAAAACAAAAAAGACCAGTTGGTTCTCTAGTTAGCTTTTCCCTTTGAAGTGGTGATCGAAATTAACACTGGAGAGAATAAAGTTCCACGCCTTTGTCTCCCCTACAGATTCCAGAATCCTGGAAAGTCATAGAAAAGGGAAAAGAGAACACTGTGAACCTCGTTCCTTCCTTGGAGAGTTTTATCTATTATCACAGACAGCGGGAACCCAAAGCCATTTCAATCTTCTGGGGGAGGAGGAGGGTGGGACCGTCATTATTGGCAAAGGAGCCTGATTGGCTGAGGACAAATGGATTGCTATTTGTCTTCTCTGTTCATAGTAATGATTACAGGCTAGCCATGGTGTTTAGCAACACGGATCTAGCAGGAGAGTAATGACAACTTCATCACTGTCATTAGTGCCTTTTGTTTGCAGTGAACACAAAAAGCTGTTCGGCATTAAGAGAGTGTAGGGAAAGAAAGAGGGGAGGGGGTGGAGGAAGCCAAGGAGGGAGCCAGGGAACCAAGGTTTGCACACTATTAATACCAGGGAAAAATACCCCTGGGTGCTCCAGTCAGCTCCCTTCAATGGTGAAGGGGCCTCCGTTAGGGGACCCAATTTTGGACTCCCTGTTCTTTCTCTGAGAAGAGTAATTGCTCTTGTTTATAAAGGCTAATCATTTATGCCCATTTTGGTTCCTAGAAAAGCCCTAGGGGGATGTTATTTTTGGTAAAGGGTCTTCCTGCTCCAAATGTCTTGACTGTGAATAACTAGTTTCAGTATCTTCTCTCCCATGTCAGGGTAAAATGAAGCAAAATAAACAGAGCGAGGACCATGACCCTTGTTGGGGACTTACTGTGGATGTCAGGCAAGGTGGCCTTTTTGTGTGTATGATCTCCTTGGTCTTCTCAACAACCCTGGGATCTGTGTCTTCATACCCACTGTACTAATGAGGAAAATAAAGCACAGAGAGGTAAAATATCAGAGCCCAGCCGGGATTTGAATTTGGGTGTGTCTCTTATTCCAAGTTTACTACACCATGCTGAAAACTCACACACAGACACACACACACACACACACACACACACAGACGCGCGCGCGCGCAAACGCACACCAACCCTCCCCCCTAAACAAAACAAGTATGGGGCCACCAAAATTCTGAACTGAAGCCAGAGGCAAGGCTGAAAATCTCAGTACTTGGAAGGACCACGGAAAAGTAGGTAAGATGTATGTATTTATTTCAGGTTCCGATCATGTGAAAGCTTAAGGGATCAAAAGATATACTGAAAGAAATTATATTAATTAAGTCACAAAAATGTGTTACACTTTTTTGGGAACTTGCCCCCTCCCTCCGGGGTGACCTTTGACAAGACATTCTGTGTTCCCATTTTTAGGCCAAAAAAAAAAAAAAAAAAAAGTAGTGGGTAGAAGACCTTAAGTTTGATCTTTGGTTCATGCCAATCTTTGTCTCATTAGTGTATCTTGTTTGTGCTGGCTTCTGCTGCCTGACCAAGCTCCTTTGACTCATACTCCTACCCCTTACGTCTCTCTTATCCTTTTCTGGACAACTTTACCAATATCATGCCTTGAATCTTGAGAAATATCTGGTAAAACTGGCCAATTAGGATGGCAGACATAACTGGGAAACAGATGGGGGGGGTGTGATGTGGTAATAGAGGGAGGGAGAGAACAAAAGAGGGCAGCAGTTCTCATGATGACCAAATGAGGCTGTTTCTGGCTGTGACATTACATTTACTGCCTATAGTGTGACCTGAACCGTTTCTGGTGAACTCTTTTAACCGTGTAAGCTATCGACAGGACATTTACTCAAATGTTAGTACCAAGGCTAGGCTCCTGGCACAACGTGACCAATGGGCATGAATTCAGGGGATTAAAAAAAATTAATTCTCAGTTCAGTTCAGGTCATTTTAGCACTTCCTGGGTGTCCCTGAACAACCACTCCAACCAGCACCCCACATGGGTTCTGAACTGGACTTGTGCGTACCCCCCAGGGGAAAATAAGAAGCAAACGAAAACCTCAGGCTGGGGCTGATGGTGGTGACCAGACACGGAGACGGAGACTGAGACTGAGGTTCAGGAAGCTGGAAATTCCCTCCTGCCTTGGTGTTTGGGCTCTCGCTTTTCCACTTCCCTAAATCACCCTCGCGGCGGGCCTGTGCACACAGGGGTGTTCCCAATTGTCTCTTGAACTGATGGTAAAACCACAAGAGCCCGAATTCTGATTCTTAGCGACCACCTTAACATCCAAACTCCAACCTCTCACCTGAGTGCAAGAGAGCGGTGACCACCCTGACCCCTCATCAGGGGGCTTCCTAACGGCAGCTCCCGCGGGAGCTCTCAGGGCCCACCCCCCACACCCTCCCAATTCGCCCCGCTAGGCATGAGACAAACAACTTTCTCCAGGTTTTAGATTTCTCCGGGCTGTCCAGCGGAGCTGGTGGGGGCCAGGAATAAGGCCTGGGGGCCGGCCGGCTGGGTGCTGTTCCAGGGTGGCCCAGAACCACAGCTTTGGTATCCTCTGCGCGGACAGGTGGGGCACGCGCTTTTCTGGGGTCGCCCCAGGCCTCCCGCAGGAATGCTGATTGACGCTGTCCGGTTTGAGAACTAGCGTGTCCACGGCGCGGACGGCTCCCCGCTGACCCCCTGGGAGCTGGGCGTCGGGTCCAGCGCACCCTCGGGCCGGCAGGGGTTCGGGGGAGAGGGGGCGTGAGCGCGCCGGGAGCTGGGGGAGGGAAGTGGGGAGGAGGAGGAGAAGGAGGAGGAGGAGAAGAAGGAGGAGGAGAGGAAGTCCCCCGTGGCCACCCCGAGGGGAGGGCGGGACGGTGCCCGCGGGCGCTTGGTCAGGAGGCGAGGGGTGCCTGGCAGGGCAGCTCCGCCCGCGCGCCTAGGGGCTCGGACCGCCGGGCGCGCGCTCCCCGCCGACCTCCGGCCGAAGGGGTGGGGGCGGCGGCGCGTGCGCGGGGCGGCGGGCGCGCGCGGGGGGGCGGCGGGGTGGGGCGGCGCGCGGCGACCCCGGCGGG